AAAAAAAAAAAAAAAAACCATATGGAGCTCACGTGGGCCCTTTCTTGAGTTTCTGGGTGTGTGAGAAGGTTGACCTGGGAGTCGAGGTCTTTTCCACCCCTCACTGCTTGGGGTCCCAGGCCCCTGGAGCAAATCACTCACCGTCTCTCGGTCACAGTTCCCCCACCTGTGATCGCAGGGAGTCCCTTCCACCTCTCAGGTCCTGCACCTAGGTGACCGTGTGTAGGGCACTCTGTACCCAGACGTGTGCCTTCAGCTATTCCTGGCTTCTGTTTATCCCGCAGTAGAACCAGAAGCAGAGTGGGCCCTTGGCATGAACAGGTTTATCATTCACACTTTTGAGGGGTCTTGAGCAGTCCTGACGGCCCATGGCATACAGAAATCTTCCACTTGGCTGAGGCATGAATTTGACGCTCACATCGCACGTTGAGGTTGATGTGTGGGTGCAAGTCACTTAGTGGGCAAGTCGGGCTGGCCGAGTGCCCATTGTCTGCCTCTCAGCGAGGCGCTGTCAGCTCCTACTCAACCCATCTTCAGCAGTGACTTTTGTGAACTGGTAGAACTTTGGTGACTGTGTGTATGTGTGTGTGAGAAAATGCCTCCGATGCTGACTGCAAGGGCTGGCAATGGAAGCAAAAGGAAGCCCAAGAAACCAGTGTTTCTTACTGAACAGACTACAAAGTGGTCTGTTGAACTTCACAGTAGCTCCGTGGTGCAGACAGCTTCACCATACATTCACTACAGAAATAAGACACGTCTCTCTGTGAAATTTTAGTGAGTGTCTCAGCCAGCAGAAAATGTGCTCATCGAGAGATAAAACTTTAGAAAAGTTTGAAAAAGTGCCTCGGGAGAAAGGCAGGAGACTGTACAAACATCTCCAGGAAGCGGCACATGTCAAAGGCACCAGTGTGGCTACTAAACCAGTCTTATTTTCAAGTAAGGGCTGGTTTGGAAGTTTTAAGATGTGTTTTTCTTGGCAAAAGGTGCAGTTAAGAGGAATAAGCAGGCCCGTTGTCTATCTCATGGCAGACGGGATTCCTCCTGGGCTAAGAGGCATGTGGAGAAACAGAGGCCCAAGTCCCAGGCTGGTGTACTTCAGGGCAGGTGGGAGGTGGCAGCCTCACATGCTAGATGGAAAGCCACGTGAGAGACGCAACCAGAGAATGAGGGCCGAAGCCTGTCAGAGAAGGCCGTAAAGAGGTGATAAGGGGTGAAGGGCATGAAGACATGGTGAAGAATTAGGAAAGGCTAGTTGGGCCCTTCATAAATTTTGTGAGGTGTTCCGTTACACCAAGCTGCCAACATCGTGGCCATCCGTCAGTAGAACGGGGTCTGTTTCATCAGTCCTAAGAAACGTATCACCATTGGCACCATGTCAGGACATCCCAAGAAGTTGCAAAAGTAAAGAGAAATGAACAAACTTAACTTTGATTAAGAAGAAGGAAGGAGGGACACTTGGGTGGCTCAGTCAGTTGAGCATCTGACTCTTGATTTCAACTCAGGTCATGATCCCAGGGTCGTGGGATTAAGCCCCATGTCAGGCTCTGCACTGACCGTGGAGCCTGCTTAAGAATTTCTCTGTCTCTCTCTGTCTCTCTGTCTCTGTCTCTCTCTCCACCTCCGTCTGCCCCTCTCCCCCACTCACACACTCTCTCTCTCTCTAAAATAAAAAAAAAATTGGGGGTGGGGCACCTGGGTGGCTCAGTCAGTTGAGCAGCCGGCTTCGGCTCAGGTCATGATCCTGTCGTTTATGGGTTCCAGCCCCACGTCAGACTCTGTGCTGACAGCTCAGAGCCTGGAGCCTGCTTCCATTCTGTGTCTCCCTCTCTCTCTGCCCCTCCCCTGCTCGCACTCTGTCTCTCTCTAAAATAAATAAACATTAGGGACCCCTGGGTGGCTCACTCGGTTGGGCGTCCAACTTCAGCTCAGGTCATGATCTTGCGGTTTGTGAGTTCGAGCCCCGCATCGGGCTCTGTGCTGACAGTTCGGAGCCTGGAGCCTGCTTCGGATTCTGTGTCTCCTTCTCTCTCTGCCCCTCCCCAACTTGTGCTCTGTCTCTCTCTATCAAAAATAAATAAATGTAAAAAAAAATAAACATTAAAAAATTAAAAAAATAATTAAATTAAAAATTTAAATTTTAAAAAACTAAGGGAGGAAAAAAGGGAAGAGAAAATGACAATAAAATTAAGAACGAAAGGGAAGGTAATTAAAATGGGCACCAATGAGAAAAAATAATATTTTTTCCAAATAGCAAAATGCTAATGAGTTGGAAAACCTAGATGAAACACATTTTTGGAAAAAGTGAAAATGACAAACTTGAATCAAGGAGAAGGAGAAAATTTGATTAGGACGTTGGCCGTTAAAGACCACCCCAACTAGAAGGTGCAGGTCCAAAGGTGTTCAAGTCAGAGTTAACATCCACAGTAAAGATCATCTTTATTCTTTATAGGAAAATAAGCAGGGAGGTTGATGAACTAACTTATGTGGTTGGTATAACCTTGTTTCCAAAACCAGATGGCTACACTGTGAGCTAATAAAATATTAGGCCCACTTCAGGTATGACCATTGATGCAAAGGTCCTAAATATAATGTTAAATAAAACAAGAGGAGCGTAGGAGGAGAACAAGTGCCATTCATCATGCTCTGTGAGGTACCGGCCCCCCCCCCGGGGCGTCTGGGTGGCTCAGTCGGTTAAGCATCTGACTTCAGCTCAGCTCATGATCTTGTGGTTCATGGGATTGAGCCCCGTGTCAATCGCGAGTGGGGGAGAGGGGCAGAGGGAGAGAGAGAGAGAGAGAGAGAGAGAATCTCACTGTCATCTAGCCCTGCTGATGGCACAGCCTGCTTGGGATTCTCTCTCTCTGCCCCTCCTGTGCTCTCTGTCTCGCATACTCTCTCTCTCTCTCTCTCTCTCTCTCTCTCTCTCTCTCAAAAATAAACTTGTAAAAAAATTTTTAAAAAGAAAAGAAAGATACATGCTCCCACCGCCACCCCCCACTCTGACAATCCTCTTTCCTCTGTTCTTTGGGTTCAGCTTTGCAAGCTGTCTGGCTGACCTGGCCGCCTCTTCATTTTTGTTCCCAAAGTCAACCCAGGTCTGTTTTGTTATCAGGGTTTTTGCTGCAAGTCAATAAAAGAAGCAAACAGAAAGGGACTCAAATGGGTAATTACAAAGGTTCTAAAACTTCACAGAGTTTCTATACTGAAGGTCCCTGGTTTATGTTCCCAGACTTCTTTTTTATTTTATTTTTTATTTTTTTAAATTTTTTTTTCAACGTTTTTATTTATTTTTGGGACAGAGAGAGACAGAGCATGAATGGGGGAGGGGCAGAGAGAGAGGGAGACACAGAATCGGAAACAGGCTCCAGGCTCCGAGCCATCAGCCCAGAGCCCGACGCGGGGCTCGAACCCACGGACCGCGAGATCGTGACCTGGCTGAAGTCAGACGCTTAACCGACTGCGCCACCCAGGCGCCCCCCCAGACTTCTTTTTTAGATGGTAAATGAATGAGGATAAGGCTCCTTCAACATACTCCTCCTTCCTTCGAACTACCTGCTTGCTGCCTTGTTCCCAGCTTGGACACCCAAAGAGGGCTCCAGGACAGTGGATGGGTCCCCTTGAATGAGATGGTATTGCCCATGTCCCAGGGTGTCCAGCCTGAGTGACCCATCCCACAATGACCTGCTTCTTACTTCTCATTGCAAGAAAGTAAGTCCTCAGGCTGACCTTCCTAACAGAAGCTGTCTTGCATCTGAGAATACGGAATTCTAGGAAAATAACCATCTTTTCCTGAGCAGGCATTCCAAATGGTGACGAACTTGGGTCTTTGGTTCACATACACTCTGTGTGCTGTTTGGTGATACCGTGGGGGTGCGAGTTCTGTTACAGCCATTCCAAGACACTCTTCCGTAATTTCTAGCTCTGAAAGATGTGGGGGTAGCCTCTTCCCTCTCTTTTGGCTTCTAGACACTTGCAAATATTTGTTTTAAGTTTATTCATCTTTTTTTTAGAAATTTCTACAGCCTACAGGGGCTCGAACTCACGACCCCGAGATCAAGCATTGCATGGTCCTCTAACCAAGTCAGCCAGGTGCCCCTGCAAAGAGTTAGTTAATGATTTAATTGTTCCCTCCCCCAAGAAGTATCTGGTTTTGTAGGATGTGTATCACAGGCCAGCAAGACATGGCCATTAGGACAGGGGAGAGACGGTGTTGTGGGCAAAGGCAGGGTGACAGCCAAGTTTTTATCTGGAGGATCTGGGGACAGATGAATGAGCACAACTGGCTTTGGGGATTATTTCTTCACCTTGAGACAGGATGGAAATGAATATTCTCACCATGCCCCTGCCCTGGAGAGAGATGGGTGAGACGTTGGCTGCGTGCCTCCTCTTTTGAAGAGTTCGGAAGTTAAATGTCTCTTTGAAGATTCTCACCTCCCGAATAGACTAGGACTTGGCATTTTCCACACCAAATGCTTAGCTCAGAGGGAGCACTAAATACAGGGGCCTCACAAGTCATTGTGAACGATGACTTTGGAGAAGGTTACCGAAGTCCTGCTGCTCTGATGGCCTTTTGTTGAAATTATTTCCGCAGGTCCTCACAGCTGGCTTGTCCATATTGCTGTTTGATATGATCCTGACGAGTGCAACAGTGGGATGGTAAGTCTTTTGCCTGGAGAGAGGAAGAGCAAATTTATTGTTTGGGTTTCACCAGGATACTAATTTTTTTTCTCAAATGTTGGCAAAAGAGTGTTTGGAGTGTGTGTGTGTGTGTGTGTGTGTGTGTGTGTGTGTGTGTGTGAGTGTGTGTGTGTGTGTGTGTATTTTTTAAGTTTGTATTTATTTATTTTGAGAGATAGAGCAGGGGAGGGACAGAGAGAGAGAGAGAGAGAGAGAGAATCCCAAGCAGGCTCCGCACTGTCAGCACAGACCCCGACATGGGGCTAGAACCCAGGAACCACGAGATCGTGACCCATGAGCTGAAATCAAGGGTCAGATGCTCAAACTGACTGAGCCACCCCGGCCAGGCCGCCCTGGGGTATGTATTTTATTGACACACAAATATACATCCAGAGGAGTACATATATCATGAATGTGCAACGTGATGAATTTTCACAACTGGATATACCAAACCCGTTGCAGTCAGCATCCAGATCAAGAAACAGAAAACCACTGTGCATCTTTCAGCCACTCATCCACACTAGCGTAAGCACTACCGGTGAACTACTAGTTTTATATGTATTATGTGATTTTACCAAGATTTTATAACTACTATGATTGGGTGAGGATTCAAAACCAGATCTGTGTGTATCCAAGGCCCCGTAGCCTTCATGTACTTCTGCACGACTGATTTGGCAAACACCAGGGATTTACCAGCAGTGTAGACAGTGTCTAGGTAACAGTGGGCCATAAGGGAGGTATAAGAGAAATTGGCCTGTACGTTCCTCTTCCCACCAATATGATCATCCATAAAGAGCTTCTAGATAATTCGACAGCAATACGAAAGGAGTGTTATCCAGGATAAGACAGCTCTATTTCTTGTTCAAGGGCTGACATGATGAACTAAGATTGTCCAGTGGAATGATCATAGGAAAAAGATCTCATTGTCTTGGGTTTTTTAATGCTATTAGCAATAATCCTATCAATTAGCTAAAAATATCTTTTGAGTGACTGCCACATGTGAAGTAAGACATCCTTCAGCCTTCAAGGAGCACGGGGGAATGGAAATCATGAAGATAGTTTGTGGGATAAGATAGTCATAGTCTGAATGCACGGTGAATGTGAGGGCGGAAGGAAGGAGAGAGGACGGGCCAGCAGGCGGGCTATGCAACTGGTTTGAACTGGACCTTAGGCAGAACACAGAGGCCCAGCAAGGCGGTGGGTGGAAGAGGATTTGGGCCCTCTGGCCCCAGGAAAGACAAGGAAGGGTGGAGAGGCAGGGGGTGCCAACGGTGAGAGTTAGTGATTTGGAACCAGAGCTGGGGCTGTGGGGCACAGAGCTAATCCTTCGCGCCTTCCTCCTTCCTCTGCACCTGTCCTTCCAGGAAGGCATGACGCCCACAGTGGGCTGGTGACATCCAAAAACCCAGCTGCCAAGATCTCCTGGTACATTCCCAGTGTCTCCTGACACTCTTCCCCCAATGTCTGTATCTTAACCTTCGTAGCGATAGTCTAAATTCTTGGCGTATTTTTCTTTCTCACGAATAAGCCTTGGACAACCATAATCTGTACAGAATTTCAGAACGGATTTAAAAAACCCAGGCATTGACCGGAGTGTGAGAAATAGGAGAGAGGTGGCTCTCCAGTGGGGAGGAAAGGCCGAGCCTAGATATTACAGCAGCAGTCTGGAAGAGGCCAGGTCTGCAGGCTGTTTCACATCCTGTGAACTTTATGGTATGCCCTGAGCAAAATGGAAAGAAAGGCTGCGTGTTCCCAAATCAAGGAAACAGCGTGTGTGATTATTGCAAAAGGAACCTTGACTTTGGAATTTCCTGATTTTTCAGAACTTGAGTTTAAGGATGGTGTGTTTTCAGCCTCAAAGAATTTTCCAACCACAAAGTGAACCACCAGAAGAGGAGTGTCAGACTCTAGTTCAGATTTCCTGTCTTTTGCACAGAGCCGGTCCGCGCTGTCCCCAGCGGAGCCTGGGTGACCAGCTCTCAGACCCTGGGCACGGGCAGGCCTGCTCTCTGACGTGTGGGAGCTTAGACTGATCAGAAGTCACAGAGGGCAGGGACTGCAGAACTGTTTTGTTTAGACCTCCCGTGTTTGCCGGTAGGGTCACTATTGCTTGTTTTTTGGCTTTCGGGAGTTTAAATTCGATCACGTTTAGAAATCAGGTGGTTTCCCCATAAAAGTCCAAATTTCCTGATTCTTTTGAAAATGTGGAACAAGTGCTACGTTGAGCCTGTACGTCCCCACGGCGGCGGTTGCCGGACCAGGTAGAGGCTGCCTGTCACGTGGACGTGGGCTAAGTCAGCGCGGCCTCCACGGCTCCAGGCTGGCTGAGGCCAGGGAGTTCTGTCTCAGCTACATCCGAACACCCATTTGCTTTATACTCATTCATGTCACAAAAAGCGTGTGGTGGGCTCCGAGGCTACAGACAGTGCGTGACCCCAGCAAGGTCACCGTCCGGGAAATGAGTTCAGATGTCATTAGCCGCCTTCTTGGACGGGGAGCAGCTTAGCTGTACAAAACAGGTCATCATCTAAAGTAGGGTTTTCCTTCACCTCAGCACTGTTGACGTTTTGGGCTACAGTGAATAATTCTTTGCTGTAGGGAGCTGTGCTGTGCTTTGTAGGGTTTTTAGCTACAAACTGAGCCCCACCCCACCGATGCCAACGGCACCTCCTCAGATGTCTCCAGATACTGCCACATGTCCCTTTGGCAGCAAAATGACCCCAGTTGGGAATCACAGATCTAAATGTTTGTGGTGGTTAGTGGAGAAAACACCATTCCAAATTTCAGCAAGATCTTAAGAACCTTGCTTACCCTCTAATTAGAGATTTGGTCAGTTCGTGTGTCAAGGCCTGGGCAGCCTCTCCCACCCTCTCTGTGCACAGCCCCGTCAGCACGTACCACACTAAGTGCCGGGTGAGGGTTCACACCCCATCTACCTGCAATTGTGAGCTCCTGCGGAAGGGAAACCACATTTCACGCACCTTTGTGTCTCCCTGCCTAGCCCTAAGGGCTTGCCGAATAAACGAGTGGCCAGCCTTCTAAATACTGTACCCCCACAATTATAACCCTTGGGGCATCTGAGTGCCTCGGTTGGTTAAGTGTCTGACTCCTGATTTCGGCTCAGGTCATAATCTCATGGTTTGTGAGTTCCAGCCCTGC